AATATTATTATTTTTGTATTTGTAGATATATCGGCGTCAACATCTTCAACATTTGAATATTCTCTTAGATTGATTTATACTCAATATTTTGTGAGATCTGGTTATTATATCTATTTAGTATGGTTTTTATTTTTGAGATTTTTCTCCATGGACGCTATGCGTTTTTTTCGTATTCATAGCTTCACTTCTCTCAATTATTTTTTAGTTTATTTTATGTGTTGTTTCGTCATGTTCTTTGATTTTGTGCTGATGGGGTTTTGTGTAGGAAAAGAATTTGTAGATATCGTAGAATCGTTGTAAATGATGAGATTCCTGCGAAGATAAATATATTCACAGGAGAATTTATTTTTAATAAAGGAGAGGAAATACGCTGGGGAGAAAAATGAACAAATGAAAGAAGTGTGAAATGGGCGATTGAACAGCGAAATTAAACGAAAAGCCATAGGCGTCAATCGATATCTATAACGGTAGTTGCGTTGTTGTAGGGATTTCTCGTAACATTTTTAGCTGTTTGTTCATTGGCAGCTCGTCGAGATTCAGCAATAAAAGCCTCAGCTTGAGCTGTATATGCTGCTATTATAGCAGCGTTTGTGTAACGATTATTTTTAGGATCAGTGGCATTCGCAAAGTGAGAAACGACAATCGGCTCCGCTATCAAGTTCCAGAGAACTATTGCTGTGGATGCGAGTGGTTCGCACTCGGGTACTATTTGGTCACCTAAATCTTCAACCTTTTGTTTTTTCGTTTGTGAAGCGCCATTCTAAAGTAGAAATTGGGCATTGGAAACAAAATCAAAGACGCGAAAGTTTACTCACATTTGTGGATGGTTGAGAATTTCGATTGTTTGTTGGTAAATTGACGTTTGGTGGTGGATAGATACCTCGACGAGCTGTTGGTCTTCGAGCAACTGGTGCAGACATTTTTAAAAAAAAATATTTTTTTTATAGGACGATTATTTCTAAAACGAAAAGAAAATAAATTCATCTAAATGTTTGAGTTATGACTCACAAGTTGAGGGAAGTTGTGTTGAATGATAATTGGCTGACTATTCCATTGTATATATATAGGAAAAGAAAAGAGAATGAGGAATTTTTTCATTGGTTCTTTCTTTTTCGTCCAATCGATTAAAGTTATTCTTTGTTCATATATGCAGGTGAAGAAATCAATTGATGACACTCGATGAGAAGCGGTAAATTGCTTGTGATCATTTCAAAGAAACAAATAAACCATGTTTAAAGATAGCCCAGACAGACAGGGTTTAGAAAAAAATGTCTTTGAACGATCACAAAGCTATTAATGGATGATGGGAGAGTATATGAGAGAGAGATGAACAGAAAGGGTATAAAAGACAAGGCAATCGTAAAGCAATACTCACTGTCAACGTCTTCATCTTCTTGTTCACAACAACTATTCTTTCCAACGCAAGATTAATCGCAGTTATGGAATATGATGCTCAATTTTATGCTCAATTTTCAATCGATTATGTTGGTGTAAGTAATGGAGCGAAGGAGGATTGTTTTTTTCTATAATTGACCAAAGATATTAAACAAAGTTGTATTTTTCTCTTCAGAATGAAATCAACAATAAAAAATCAAGTAACGACAAGCCTGTTGATTTGAATAGTTCGGTTTTATTCGAAGAAGCAATATTTATTGGATATTTTCGATCAGTCAATTATGAATACAGTCCTATTTATTTGATCGGGCGTCGAAATGGTGAATCTGTTTATAGATTGTCAAAAGAAGCCGCGATCCGTAAATGACCGAAAAGAAAATAAATTTTCATATTGAAAAAATTCTATTATTTAGATGCTGGTGGTTCACGAACCAACAGTGTAGTTATTCACGATCCACCTTTATTTCCTGATATCGTATTAGAACAATGTGGTTTAAATCAAGTCGATGTAACATTGTGCAAAAATTGTAAGCCCGAATTTGCCGTACAAGATAAAATATTGATTGAAGCATTTCTTTTTTTCATAGAGTCCACGTTTGAACATAGAAATTTCAAATCAATGCTGTATATATTGTTAATAAAAACTACTTAACTTTTATTCTTTTTTTTGTGATTATTCTCTATTATTGATTCAATATTATTTTTGTGTATACAACTAGATATCATTTGTAATGCTTTTTTTCAGATATATCCGAAACAGTTTATCATCGATACTTCTTATTCATTATTTATGGCGTGTTCTATCTTATGTTCACTA